CATGGAGGAAGGCAGAATCACCAGTGAGTACTATCCAGTCTGTCTAGGTGGAGCTGATGAAATGAAATACAGATGGGTTACTCGCGATCCTGTAGTGAATAATGGTTATTAAGACTGATTGTGAGGGTTGAAAATGCAAAGGTAGACGTTTTGTATCAAGGAAGGGAGTGATTATTTCTCCAGTCTAGGAGCGGAGGTCTCTGGGACCACCAACGGAGAAGAGCCTAGAGTGGGACCCTACCCAGAGAATCAGGGACATCTGAGATGGAGACAGAGACAATGACATGGAGGACTGAAGCGGCTGAGGACTTTGCATCCAGAGAGGGAGAGGGTCTATGGGCCGAAGACTGGGGGGTGGGAGGAGGGGGAAGTGTAGAGCATGGGTTTCTAGGATATGCCCTTTGGTCAGAAGATGATGCATGGAAGGGATTGGAACCATGGCAGTGAAATGATAAACGATGGAATGAATGTAAAACTAAAGTTCTCTCATGTAAACTATCATATAATTCACAATAAAACATTAAAAAAAAAGACATTGGCTGTACTCTAGTTATTTGCCACCATGGAACTTGGCCAAAGCTTTTATTTTTTTCTAATTTTTGTTGTGAATGAGGGGAAACTTTACAGAGCAGATCAGTTTTCTATTCAACAATTCATATGCATTTTAGTACATGTCATTGATTGCAATCCCTGCAATGTAATATTCCACTTCTTCCTTATGGCTCCCATTTCTATTCCTCCTCCTTTCTTAACTCTTTCAGTCTTCTGAACTTTGCCCTTGGTCAAATGCTGTCCCTTTGTTCCCTAATTGTTGATAATTCTCTGGAGTGTTGTACCTAGCAAGTTATCGGTCACCTAATAGACAAAACTATAAGGTGACCAATAACTTGCTAGGTACAACACTCCTGAGAATGATCAGTTCCACTCTCATCTGTCAGTTTGTCATACTGTGGTGGCTTGCATGTTGCTGTGAATTTGGCAGCAATGCTAAAGTATTTTAAATACCAGCAGTGTCACCCATGGTGGATAGGTTTCAGCTGAGCTTCCAGACTAAGACAGACTAGGAAGAAGGAGAGATGGACTACTTCCAAATAATCACTGAAAACCTTAGGAATAATAGTAGAACACTGTCAGATAGCACCAGAATATTGTCAGATGTAGTGCCGGAAGATGAGCCTCTCAGGTTAGAAGGCACTACTAGGAAGGAGCTGCCTCCTCAAAGTAGAGTTGTCCGTGGTGATGCAAATGAAGTAAAACTTTCAAGACCTTCATATGCTGATGGGGCACAAGTAAAATGAGGAGAAACAGCTGTAAATATCCATTATGAATGTGAAAGTTGGACAGTGAGCTTAAGAAGACTGTAGAAGAATTGGTACATTTGAGTTAAGATGTTGGGGAGAATATTAAAAGTACCATGAACCGCCAAAAGAACAAACAAATGTGTATTGGAAGAAGTACAGCCAGAACACTTTTTAGAAGCCAAGATGGCCAGACTTTGCCTCTCATACTTTGGATATATTATCAGGAGAGACCAGTCCCTGGTGAGGGACATCATGCCTGATAAAGTGGAGGGTCAGAGAAAAAGAGGAAGACTCCCAATAAGATGGATTGACACAGTGGCAACAGTAATGGACTTAAGTGTAGCAACCATTGTGAGGTTGGCTCAGGACCAGGCAGTGTTTCTTTCTGTTATGCATAAGGTCGCTTGAGTCAGTACCAACTTGATAGCATCTAACAACAACAACAACATTGCTGGAGTCTTGGTGCAGTGTTGTAGGACAAACACTGAACTACAAGGTCATTTGAACCACAAGGTTGGTGGTTCAGACTCACCAGCCACTGCTTGGAAAGCCTATACAGGGTTGCTATGAATCAGAATGGACTCAACAGCACTTAGCAACAACAAATTATTTGGCTAAAAATTAAGCCGTGGAGTAGGGTACGGTGGTGAAAAGTGAGTTTAGTTCCATGCCTGAAGGATGACTAAGGGATTGATCAAACCTTAGAGATCTGCAGAGTTTCATTTTCTTGCTTGTGGAGTAGGCACCTTTCTTGCCCACAGGGTCATTCATTGGTTCAGGCTCCTGAATAGGAGATAGGCTCAGTTCTGCACCAGCCTGTTAGTGATTGTATGGGAAGTGGCTTTAGAATGTGTGCACAGACTTCAGAAGTCTCACTTGATCCTTAGACAGCTTGGTTAGAATCTAGCACATGTGAGGTTTTATCCAGGGTCATACAGTTGTCCTGGTTTACCTACCCCAGCTGTTAAATTCTGGGGCTTGAAGCTTGTGGCACATAGAGCCAGCCTGGAACTAGGAGACAGGTAGGCTGTGAAACAGGCAGAACACCAGGTGAGGAGGAAGGGAATGACCCAAGGTCCTTGGCTATTCCTACTCTGTGTCTTTGGTGAGTGCAGCTGATGCCCAGAGAGAGTTACGGTCAGCATAGGGTCAAGTAAGCTATGGAAACTTTTGCTGTTGAGAGTGACCACACAGGCCCAACTTTGCATCTCCCCATTTTCTTCCATTCCCTGTCTTTGGTCCTTACTCTTGAGATTATTTGACTACCTTACCTACGTTTTTCTAAAGTCACATAGAGATAAGCAATACTTAATAGCTTAGCTTGGCCTTAAGGTACAGCAGGGTCTATGAGTCCCTGGATCTGTAGGACTTATTGTCCCTTTCTGAGACTTTCCTTAGCTTTATTAGAGGCTGACTATGATGCTTTTCTGCTGCTTACTGTGGAAATTACCTTGCAGAATGAACTGGACAATATCAGAGCCCAGCTTTCTCAGAAAGGTGAGTTAACAAGAGACGTGGGGCTCTAGGAGGCCCCTGACTTGGTGCTAGAGGGAGGGGTCTTGGGAGGAAGGCCTTCAACTTTGTGACAGAACTGGGAACTCTCCCTGCTTTGTCCATGAGTCTTACTCGTTCCTGTGACTGGGAGTAAAGGGAGATGATTCAAGCTGGCCATGTAGACTAGGTGAACTTTTTGCCCAAGACCAAGACTTGGGTGGAGTACATGATGGCACAGAATATTTGCTGAGTTTGGTAGGCACCAGTTCAAGTTTTGGGATGATGAAGTTACTAGGCCCATGGGAAGAGGGAGCAGTTTTTCCAAGTACCAAGCATCAGAAACAGGATCTTATTTCCTAACTAAAGAGGTTCTGGCTCAGTTCCCCTGATTTGGCACATGCCAGAGAAAACAGTGGACTACCTAACTTTCTGGCCTGCGCCCTCAGAAATCATCTGATTTAGGAATGGGATTTTGGAGCCCAAATTCTCATGGTAATGGCCTTCCCTCTCTGGTCCCCTCTTCAGAAAAGGAGAAGCGAGACACCCAGGCTATCATTGACACTCTGCGGGACTCTCTGGAAGAGCGCAACGCCACTGTAGAGTCTCTACAGCAGTCCTTAGACAAGGCTGAGATGCTGTGCTCCACCCTCAAGGTGGGTCTTCAGGTCCTATAGGCAGAGTTGGCAGGGAGGGAGTCATCATCTGGGTTTAGCTTTTGGTTCTGTCTTAGTGCCTTGGTTTGTGTAGTTGTAAAATGGAAGTAAATTCCTTTTTATCCAGTCTCTTCCTTGCTGTATCTATTCAGCCCATAAGAAAAGGGCCCTGTTAGCTTTTGTACTAGGTAGTTTGGAAAATGAGCCTTTCCTAGTGCTTTACATAGGTGCGGCTCAGCCAAGACTTCAGTGAGGGTGGGCTACATTTCCAAAAGTGGTTCATACTCCACCCGCGAGGCCATCCTGAAGAACCTTCCATTAGCACTCCAGTCCTTGGCTGGGCCGCTCTCTGGAGCTAGATCAAACAGCATCCTAGGGAGAAGCAGGAGCTTTTGAAGTCCTTTGTGCCGAGCTGACTGGGCAGATCAAAGCCTGCAGAGCAAGCGGCCCCAGACCCAGATGAATTTTGTATCATCTTAGGTTGGTGAGCCTCTTGCTCTCCAAGGGGCATGAAGTGGTTGATCTGAACCTGTGATTGATATTCTGGCTTCACAGGCAGGAGCAGCCCTTGCTGGATGTCATTTGAAAGGGAAAGGGAGCTGTCTTTGTGAACAGAGGAGGCTGCAGGATATGTTCATTGTCTCTGCTCCTGCTCAAGGGCTGGGCTGGATCATGTGGTCTGGTTGATGGGAGGGCGGGAGGGAGGGAGCAAACCAGTACCTACTGTAGAGCTTGAGTCTCTGAAGGTATTCCCAGGTCAGAAGTGGAGTGGTTTTGTGTAGAGGGCAGTCTGGCCAGCTGCCTCTGACTCAGCTCTCCTATCCTAACAACTGTCCTGGGTCTAGATACAGGATTATGAGGCCTGGGTTGTGCTCTAGACTTCTCCATCGACCTACACAACTTGCACCATGAGACCAGGTCATGGAACCTCAGCCTGTAGACACTGGCAGGGGCTGTGCTATGGTGAGAGATTCCTTAGGAGGAAGCAGACTGGGAGATGAGGAAGCAGCTGGCCTAGGGTCTCTTAACAGGGTCAGTACAAGCCACAGTAGAGGGGCTGCAGTCACATGGTTATCAGCATTTTCAAAAAATGTAGAGCAGACGGTTCTAGGGTGCAGTTTTCCCAGTGACCTTAACCATGACTTTTTGGGAGCCTCTAAGCAATAGGTATGAGTGTGCTTGCTCTTCAGAAGCAGATGAAGTACCTGGAGCAGCAGCAGGATGAGACCAAACAAGCACGGGAGGAGGCCCGCCGACTCAGGAGCAAGATGAAGACCATGGAACGGTGAGCTTGGAGTTAAAACCTGTCCAGTGCCTTTGCACCTGGGACTCCCAGGTGGCACAGCTCTCAAAACTTTGGCAAGGGAGTAGGGTTAGGTCACTTCTGTGGTACAAATCTCCAAATGCCATGATGAGCTTAGGTCATCTGGGCATGGGCACAGATCTTCTTGATTAGCCTCTGTGGGCACCTCCACTTTCCATTGGGGCCCTTGCCACACTCCTCCCTGTGCCTGCTGCTTGTGATGTGGCCTCCTCCCCACTCCCCCATCCCTGCTGCTTGTGACCAGACAACCTGGCAGGCCTTTCCCTCTGGGAACCTCTCTCTAGGTATCCCTGACCTTGAGGTCCTTCTGCCAGCACCCCTCTTTCCTCAGCAACATCCCTGAAACTATGCTCAGCTCTGTTGTGGGGCGTATCCTTAGGCAGACCTGCCTGCTGATGCATCCTAGCAGCTGAGGCTGTCACTATAGCAACGGCAGCAAAGGGAGACAGAGCTGCACTAGGTATCTAGCCATCAGCCTCCAGATTTTAAATGCCGTGGGCTGGGTGTTTTTCAGAATTGAGCTTCTACTCCAGAGCCAGCGGCCCGAGGTGGAGGAGATGATCCGAGACATGGGTGTAGGACAATCAGCGGTGGAGCAGTTGGCTGTGTACTGCGTGTCCCTCAAGAAGTACGTTTTCTAGCCCTTCTCTTCAAGTTTAGGAGCCAGGCTATGTGGCCACAGCCTTGCTTCTCCATCTGTTACTCAGATCTTGTAAAGCAGAGCAGGTGGAGTTAGGTGCAAACTTTACCTGAGTTTAAGCCTTAACTCTACCTCACACTAGCTGTGTGGCTTGTGGCCAGTGTCTTAGCCTCTCTGACCCTCAGCTTCCTGAATGAAGATAGTAGCAGACCTTATTTATAGGGTTGTTGAGAGGTGAGTGGGTATTATAAGTAGTGTTTCAAAGGGATTGTCACAGCTCTTTTGAGCTGTCAGTCCCATCTCTGTATCTGGAGATTGTTTCCCATCAGCACTGTTACTGACCCTGAAACCCTCCACATTTCAGTAGCAGTAGGACTTGAACTAGGACTGTGATGGGTTTTAGTTAGGAGGTGACCACTTGGCTGACAAACATGAAAGGTCCCAGACACTTCCTGTGGGGACCCCCTTTTTGTGGCTGGGGCTACCTGCACTCCCTCAAATCACCAATGCCTGCTGGACAGGCAGGGAGTTGATTCTCCAGCTCTTTTGTGTTCCTCCATAGCACTCTGTGTCCTCTGCTGGGCCCAGAGCTCAGAGCAGAGGTGAGAGTGAGTTGATGGAAGGGCTTCACCTTGTGCTGTGTTGGTACTGTGGCTCAGACTGACTGAAGGCAAAAGGATACCCAGTTTGGCATCCTGATCTCTTTCCATGGCTACTTTACAGAGAGTACGAGAACCTAAAAGAGGCACGGAAGGCTTCAGGAGAGCTGGCTGAGAAGCTGAGGAAGGACTTATTTTCTTCCAGAAGCAAGGTAACATAGTAGAGAGCAGAGGCTTAGAGAAAAGGCATGTTCATTGAAGGTGACTCTCCTTTTGTCAGTCTCCTGAGTGAAGCCCATGAGGCTGTTGGATGATTCACAGGGATTGGGCATTGTGGCTTGCCCATTTGGTGACAGATCATGGAGGTATCCCCCAAAATGTACTCACTCTTCCTCTCTGCTTTTTTTGGTTCTTGGGAACCTCTCAGCTGACTGGAGCACAGGCCTCAAATGTGACAGCTCAGAGGCATGTTTTGTACCAAACTTGGAGTAGGAGAACTTTTGGGACCTGATTTAGTTGACACAGCTAGCCTCACTTCTGGTCATGGTGACTCCATGGATTTCAGGCTTTAGGAAATAGTCTCAGGTCCTAAGCAGCTCAGGGTTACTTTGTCAGTCTGAATTCTCCTTGCACCCCAGTTTCTCTGGGTAACAGCAGGTTGGGCAGGGCAAATGTCTACCCTATGGTTCATTCTTTGCTTTCAACACTCTCTTATAGTTGCAGTCAGTCTACTGCGAACTGGACCAGGCCAAGTTAGAGCTGAAGTCAGCCCAGAAGGACTTACATAGCGCCGACAAAGAAATTACAGTAAGGGACTCCGCTGACCTGATGGGAATGAGGGGTGGTTTGTGTGCCCTCCCAGAGCAGGGCTGGTTATCTCTACCCAGCACCCCATGTACAGCTCAGTGGTGGAGCTTCTAGACTGCATCTACCTGGGGCAGAGGGGATCAGGGTTTGTCACTTAGTCCTTAGCAGGACCCTGCTTGACAGAGGGCAGAGAACAATCTGGGTCTTCTCTTACAGTCTGCCCTATGTCCTTAAGGTCCTTTACCAGAAAAAGGGTTCTACCAAGGGAGGAGTTCTGGAGCCTGGTGGTCATGGCCTCCTAAGTCTGGTGCTAGGGTTTCAGGTCTTGCCAGTGGGTCTGCCTTTCATGCAGGCTGCTCTCTTTTGAACTTGATGCCATAGGAGACACCTTTCTCTCACCCCCTTCTCTTCCCCAAGAGCCTGAAAAAGAAGCTAACAATGTTGCAGGAAACCCTGAATCTGCCACCAGTGGACAGTGAGACTGTTAATCGCCTGGTCTTAGAAAGGTTTGTTGAGCCTCTGGGATGGGTCAGAGGCCAGAAGCATCCCCTGGTAAGGGTCTTCACGCTTCCTGACTTTGGTGGGATGGGTGGTGCATGTGGCTTTAAAGGCTGCAAACCTCCTGCCCTGGGAGTCAGTCAGGATTTACGTGGAATGTAGCTTCAAGTGCAAGTGCTCTCTGATGCGGAGACGCTGGAGAGGAGCTAGGGGTGGTCAGAGAATCTGCAGGAGCATTGACTGTCTTGGGGTATCCTGTTTATGGAATGGCTTTCCAAATGCATCATTGTTGCCTGCCCCAAATTCTGAAACAAACGTTGAAACCACTCTGAAATAATTGCCCTCGAGTCCGAGGAGCATGTACTTTAAAGCTACCAGCAGAGGGAGCTAAAAGGCAGAGGAACTGGTAGTCCTTGTTTGGGCACCCATTTCCCTTTCTGAGTGTTCCTCAGACACCACCTAGCTGAGAGCATCCAGGACTACTTCCTGCCTGCAGGAGGACCCCAGCTGATGACCCAGACAGAAAAGCACAAACTCCCCTCAGTGATTTAGTCAATATGCTCCTTCCTCCCCACATCCCATCAGTTGCTAGAGCCTGCCTTAGTGCGTCCTGATACAACCCTTAGTGTATCTCACCCTTTTCCTTGACACCACCTCCACATAAGGCTATGACCCATGGCCCTACTCAACCTGTATGCCCAGCACACTAGCTCAAGAGATTTCCTGAAACTGCTCTGGCATCATGCCACCCCAAACACTTCCAAAACCCTTTGAGTTTGCAGGACAGCTAACTCTTCAGTGTGCAAAGACACACAAGTGGAAAGAGAAACTCCTGCTGTGTTTGACAGTGTGGTTTTTTGGAAGCTTAAAGATAAACTGCAGCCCACAAGGCTGACTCCATGAGTGCCTTGGTATTGAGGGTGACCTGTCTCCAGCTTGAGGGGTGTTGGCTTAGACCTCTGCTTTACTACTGATGATGACCCTTATGAGACTATTGCCGGGAGCCAGCCCCAGCAGACTTATTCCAGGGTTTTTCCAAAAGCGTATGCGGCGTCGGTGGATTACGGAGTCATAGGCCATAATAAATTCAAAATCTTCTCATTACATGCTTTATTATTATTATTTCTTTGGCTACTCTAATACTCTACTTCTCTCATTCTTTACTGACCCGCTCATTCTTTACTCCCCTGCTCTCCTGCTCATATCTTCTGCGTCCTTTCTCCCCTCCCCTGGCTCCTGCTTCCCTTCTCTCCTCTCCTGCTCCCCTCTTCTGCTCCCTTCTTCTTTTCCCCTCTTCTGCTCCCTTTACTAGCTTCCATTCTCTCCATTACTTCCTCTATCATCCCTCCATTCTTGTCTCGTCTCCTCTCCATCTCATATTCCTTCTTCTCCCCCTATTCTTGTCACTACTACTACTACCTCTTTGTTCTATCTTACAACCCCCTTATATACCATTACAAAAAACATTGCATTCATAGTAATCAATGACATCAAGGTACAATCTATCTTGGGGCACATTCCTCATGGTTTACAATTCTTAAATTTACAACAGGGATGAGAAGTTACAGCAAAAACATTATCTCAAGGCATAGGAGACATTCAGGCACCTTGAAACCTTTTAGTTAAACATTTATTCATACATAAATCTATTTTCTATGGGAAACAAGTTAACCTTCACAATTTCTTAACCTTTGTCTGTTAAATCTTGTTAATTTTAGTTGTTAGGTGCAATTAACTCTCCATTAACTACTTCTATACTCTATCTGTTTATAGCCTATAAAAACACTTATCAGGGAAACTGAGGTTATGAAAAACAATTTCTCTAATTTACTGATCATTAATTAAAGAACATCTAAGTCAGACTTTTAATTTAGTATCTGTATATACCATACCCTTTATCTAATTGTTTTTAGAAATTCTTGTACCCACAGCCCTTATTTATGGCTATTCAAGTTTAGGATTCTTTATTGCCTTAAACTAAGGCTGCAAGGAAGAATGTTTACAATCACTAAACCTAAACTGGCAGTAATTCAATTGACAAGTCCTGTCTCCTAGCAGTCTTAAGAATATTGTTAATATAAGTATTAAAACTACCTAAGATTAGTAGAATAAAATGTAGCTAATGTGTGGCTTCTAACTTTTAATGAAAATATACTAAAGTGTATGAGAGTAAAAAATCTAAAGTAAAAGGGATACTAATAAAATCATTAATAACTCAGAGAATGTTTCACCAAGAGAAAAATTCCACTAGGGGTCTGTGCATAAAAAATAATAAAACAACTCTTTGTGGCTCTGCCATCCAAAGAGAGAAAGAAAGAAAGAAAGAAAGAAAAAAGAAAAAGAAAAGAAAGTATTTCATTGTTGCTTTGCAAAGACAATGAATTCTTCATGCACAGGTTTCCCCATGTCTCATTTATTTAATTCCTCGATTAATATGTCTCAATTTATTTATTTTTAATTCCTTAATTAATTATGGCCCTGGCCATACTATACTCAGTGTGATATATTCTTGGGATTTGATTGTAGATGTTTCTTGATACTTTGGTGCCATTCCATAACCTTAAAAATATGACTCTGTGGAAGGCCTTAGAAGGAGTCCTGGTAACTATAAAAGGTCAGCAGTTTGAACCCACCAACTGCTCCAGAGAACAAAGATGTGGCTGTCTGCTTCCATCAAAATTTACAACTTTGGAAACCCTGTGGAGGTAGTTCTACTTTGTCCTAGAGGGTAACTATGAGTTGGCATTGAAGGCAGTGGGTTTGGGTTTGGAAAGTCCTGGTTAGGACACAGAGATCCATGTTATTGCTCTGGCCACCCACTATCTATGGAGCATACATCTTCCTAACATTCAGAGTGACTAGTTTTCCAGTCTGACAGAAAGCCCCGCAGGGAACACTTAAGGGTGCAAGGGTAAGGTAGTCACCTGGGACTGCTCTAGTTCTCTTTTGTGTTGGAGTCAATATTTCCTTTATCTCATTTCTTACTTTTTCTTAACTTACTTCCTTTGTTGAAGTTCATCTTGAAATAATTGCTAAAGAAGGGAGCTTGGCTATATAACAATACTTTTGCTGTGTCTAGCCCAGATTGCCAGTTTGAATTCTAGGATGAAAATTAATCTCCATCAGAACCTTGAATGTTTTGCTTTTCAGTTGTCTAAAGGTATTGCCTCTGAGAAATCGATGCCTGTATGACAGTAAAACAACAACAACAAACATTTGTAACACAACATTTTTCACATGTACAATTTAGTGACACCAATTGAGATCATGTTGTACAACCATTACCAGTATCTTGCCAAATTTCCATCACCATAAACAGAAACTCTGTTTCCTAAACAGTGGCTTTTCTTTTCCCTCTCCCTCCCACCCCTGGTAACCACTAATACACTTTGTTCTCTATATATTTGCCTATTCTAGATATTTAGTATAAATGATGGTATGCAATATTTATCCTTTTGTGAAAACACTCAGTATAATGTTTTCAAGGTTAAACCATGTTGTAACTTGTATCAGGACTTCATCTCTCTTTATGGCTGAGTCATATTCCATTGTCTGCATGTACCACACTTTGTTTACCCATTCGTCAGTTGATAGTCACTTAGGTTGTTTCTGCCTTCTGACCCTTGTAAATAGTGTTGCAGTGAATATTGGTGTATTATCTGATTCTTGATCCTTTTGTGAGTGAACGTGTTTTCAGTCTCTGGATGGTGTAGGATCCTGCCTTTATGCTTGACTGATGTGAGTTGATGCATTTGAATTATAGTGTTGGAGAAGAATATTGAAAGTGCCATGGGCTGCCAAAAGAACCAACAGATCTGTGTTGGAAAAAGTGCAGCCAGAGTGCTCCTTGGAGGCCAGGATGGCCATACTTCGTCTCTCACGCTTCAGACATATTGTCAGGAGGGACCAGTTGCTGGAGAAGGAGATCACATTTGGTAGGGTGGAGGGTCAGAGAAAAAGAGGAAGACCTCCAGCGAGATGGATTGGCCAAGTGGCAGCATCAGTAGGCTCAAGCGTGGCAACAATTATGAGGTTGGCCTAGGATCGGGCAGTGTTTCATTCTGCTGTGCAGTCAGTACCGACTCAATGTCACCTAACTACAACAGCAATGTGATTTCACCATGGTGTGTCTGGATGATTTTTTCTATTCATCCATCTCAGCCTTTGGCAGATCCCTTCAGAACATTCAAGTCTCCCTTCAGTTCTGGGTTTGTTTTGTTTTGTTTTTTCTGGAAATATTCTTGTTTGATTACTCTGAGAATCTATTACACTCCAATTTCTCTGTCCTTTCCCCTAGGAACTCCTGTAAGTCTAATGTGTACCCTCCTGGGTTGATCCTTTGTAATTTGTCTTTATACTTTACATTTTGGGAGTGTTTCTTAATTTCTACATAAAATTTCTTGATTTTTATTTATTATTGGAGTCCTGGTGTGGCACTGAGGGTTAATGCGCCAGACTGCAAAGCTGTTAGAACTGCAAGGTCGGCGGTTCAAGCTCACCAGCTGCTCCTTGGAAACCCTATATAGAGCCACTATGGGTTGGAATCGACTCAACGGCACTTAACAACAGCAATCACATTATTACTGGCTTTGTTGTTGTTGTTAAGTGCCATCAAATTGGTTTCTACTCATAATGACTCTAATAGGGTTTCCAAGGAGCAGTTAGTGAATTTGAAGCACCAACCTTGCAGTCCAGTGTTTATCCTACAGTGCCACACCAGGACTTCATTATTGGCTTTAATGAACAGAAATTTACTTTCTCATCATTAGTTGTTGGTGGTGCTGACGCATAGTGATCCTATGCACAACAGAATGAAACACTGCCCGGTCCTGCACCATTTTCACAAATATTGCTATGCTTGAGTCCATTGTTGTACTCACTGTGTCAATCTGTCTTATTGAGGGTCTTTTTCTTTTTCACTGACCCTCTAATTTACCAAGCATGATGTCCTTCTCCAAGGACTTGTCCCTCCTGATGGTATTTCCAAAGTACTTGAGAACAAGTATTTCCATCCTCTCTCACTTTTTAGGAGGCTAAGAGTCTGAATTAGGAGCTCTAGGGGAAGGCATTCTCTCAGAAGTCTGTCTGGGGCAAGGTCCTTATCTCATTTCATCTTCTGTTTCCTGATTCCTTGACAGTCTTCTTGTGTCATGTATCTTCCCCTCCATTTTATCCGTCACATTAATTTGAAAAAAAAATTTTTTTTAAGTTTTTATTGTGAATTGAGTGATAGTTTACATGGGAGAACATCAGTTTTACACCATCATTTTATTGCAATGATTACAATCTCCTCAGTGTATCATCATTCAACAGTATTTGCTTCTATCTCCTCTGTTCTTTCTTTGTTTTTTGGGGGAAGAGGAGGGTGGGGGATGTACACAAAAATACTCAGGAATATGCAATCATTTAAACAACCAAAGGGCACAGTCTGCAAGCCTGTCTGCTGGCCGCCAACTCTCAGTCTTTCTCTTTCCGTGAGTCTAGAGTCCTTAGATGCTCTATCTCTCCATGTCCTTATCTCTGCCTCCATCTCCAGTGTCGCTGCTTCTCTGGATAGGGTTCCACATTCTGTTCATGCTCTTCTCCCTTGATGGTCCTAGGTTCCTCTGTTCCTGTACTATAAGATGAACTACTCCATTTTGTTACAAAACTTCTACCTTTACAGTTGTGACAGTTGCAATTAATCATGATAACAATTTCTCACTATTGAATTGTAAAAATCTTATCCCCATCTCTTTTCACCAGACCCATCTAGACAAGGTGAAAACTTTTCAGTGTGGACTCTACCTTCCCCCATATACTCTGAAACTAAACTCCCTGTTGAAAACTTGTAAACCAGTCAATTTGTGCCTTTGTAGCATACACACACACATTTTAGATAGTCAGTGTCTAAGTTGCTCATCTCTATCAGCCCTATGTACAGAGGGGATGGGAATGATCCTTGATGTGAAGATTCTGTCCTCTCAGTCTTTCAGTTGATATTTTGAGCTACTACATCCATAAGTATAGGTCAAATTTATCAAATTGTAGCAATTTATACTTGTTTCCTTTATCAAAAATAGTTTTTTATTTTCCTCTAGTCAAGTTCTGATCATCAAGCCATCGAGGCTAGGTCAAATGGGTACTATCTGCAAGTTTGGTTTTTCTTGTTCATCTCCCCTCACTTCATATCAGTTGGATGCTAATTTGAAGATTTTTTTCTTGCTCTCTGAAAATATCCTTAGCAAAACGTTCTGTTCTTATTCTGTGGTCTCACATTTCTCTTTCTGTTTGTGCCTCATGGCCTTTGGAGAAGGTAACAGGAAGGCTACCTAGGATCTTACTTAATGTGGGCAGGGCTTGAAGGGAGTGTGCCTCAAACAGACTATATTGGGCCTTACTTCATTCCAGCATATGGAGGGCTTCACCATTGGGTTCAATACTGGCTGCTCTAGGTCACTGTAGATGGTTTCCTTGATGTCTTGAGAAAAGGCTCCTCCATTTCTTGGCCTGGAATAGTAGGCTGCCTCCCTCGTGCTCCATTAGTGCAGATGTAGGAAGAGACTGGAGCTGAACTTAATAGCTTTCATCAGCCCTCCAGTTGTCAGGACCAGTTACTGCTCTTCCTGCAAGACCAGAGTTTCTCTAGTTCTCCCTTGCATTTGCAGCCCCCTTGTTAAGGGTCTTGGCTGCTCTGTCAGTCCCTTATGCCATGGTCACATTCTCCCTCCCAAAACTTTGTGACAGTGTCTGGATGCTAACTAAGGGTGTTTGCCCATGTTCTGTGTTATAGTAAGGTTATCTTTCACCCCTGTCCTTTTATGGAGGCCTCAGGAGGAAGGAATAGCCATTACCCAGCTGTGGAAGGAATGCTAGAATGACCTCTCTCGGGGCCTCACAGGCTCCCTGACCTGACTGGAGAGAGTTGAGGAGGCCTTTGTGTAGGGTATGTCTGCCAGAAGGAGCCAGATGGGTCTATCCAGGGCCTTGGTTATGCTTTGGAAAGGGGGCTTTGTGTGCTTTGCCCTGTTTCCTGAGATGTCTGGCATGAAGCCCTGTGAGTTGACTGTGAGTATATGTACTAGGGGTGGTGATGGTATCACCCAGGAAGGCCTCAAGCCAGGCCCTCGACTATTGAGGGAGTTGCTAATGGGTCCCCAACTGTTCCTCCCCATCAAACAGAAGATGGGAAGGAAAGAAAGGGGACCCCTGGCAAGAAGAAGAACAGGGATCAAGCTCATAAAGGAAGAAAGGAAATAGTCCAGGGGTCCTGAGAGAGCAAGAAATGTGTCCATATGAGCCACATGTGGGTGTGAAAGGAGAGGAAGGCACTGTGAGAACCTCCTGAGCCTTCAGGTTAGTATGTGATGGCCAGGAAGTACAAATGAACAAGATTGACGTGGCTGGATTCAAGGTTAGGCACATGTATTGGACAAGATCTAAAAAGATGGCAGCAGGAAAACCTGCCAAGAGCTACCTGGAAGGCAAAATGACTGCAGCCAGTCAGACCAGATAGGTCCAAGACCCTACCTGCATCTTAAATGCACCTCTTCTTACTGGACCTGGACTTGCCTGTGGTTGGTAAATGGTGGCAGAAGTACAGATACTATGAAAAGCTTCCATAAGCAGTGCTGGCTGCTGCATTTTTGATGGCTAGCAGAGGGAGAAACAGTATCTGGCATGGGCTATAGACGAGGTAGATTTGTATAGTCTACATTTCTCCTTGAGGGCAGGGAGGAGGGCAGAGCTTCCAGGGGCCTACTCATCCAAATCAATGTACAGCTCCATTTCCCCTAATCCGCACACCCCAGTGGGCCCCTGGCCACCTCCCAGAGTGGCTCACCCTGGAGACTGATACACACCTCCCCAGTTCATCCCTTTGCCCTAACCATTGGGAGTGACACTACGGCATAGCCCTGAAGAGATCCTGAGGGAAGGAAGGAGAGAACATGTCCTTGAGGCTGTCCCTGCCACCCCTCAGGGTTCTCTTGAGACCACAGTAGCTGTGGACTCCTACCAGGACTGGGTAGACTAGAAAAATCATGCTGGCTACAGTTGTCTAATAGAATAAAATTCTCCCATCCCCAGTTATAATAGCTAAAACATGCTCATTGTTGAGAATTTGGAAAATATGGAGTTATCTCAGATAGTCAGTGAGTCGATTTAGACTCATAGTGACCCTCTAGGACAGTAGAACTGCTCCATATGGTTTCTGAGGCTGTAAATCTTTATGGGAGTAAACAGCCTCTTTCTCCTGCAAAGTAGCTGGTGGGTTTGAACTGCCATCCTTGTAGTTAGCAGCCCAGTGCTTACTTACCCACTATGTCAATAGGGCTCGTATAGTCAGTATTGGCATATGCTATATTTCCTTCCATTCCTTTTCCTGTAAGAGATGGAGTAAGTATACCAAGTGATTTGACTATTCCATATATAGAACCTTGTTTTACTTTTAAAATTTAACATATGAACATTTTGCCATTGTTAAATTTACGCTCCATAAATATCACTTTCTAGCTATGGAAATGCGTATCCTCCAGCAGTTATTAATATTGTACAGCATTTGCCATGATAATTAACACTGGTTGGGGAGCAACCCTCTGACTTACTCTTTGAGTCATTCTGAGAAATGAGGTTACTTGATCAAAGAGCAGTTCTTTGTGTGTTTGGGTTTTGTCTGGCTTTTTGCTTCCTTCCTCCCATATGTTTCACACTTTTACTGGTCACATGACTATACAAAAGAATTAACCACTGAGTCAAGTGGTTAGTTATGTAAATTAGCATTTCTTTGGGGGATGGCAGTGTGCTGGGAGTGGGCTCCAGACCCCTGGAACTGAGTCAATTTTGACACTTGAGAAACTCTTGGCTTTCTTGGCTGCTGTTGTATTAACTGATCAGGCCATCTCTGCCCTCAGTCCAGCTCCTGTGGAGATGTTAAACCTGAAGCTTCGCCGGCCAGCCTTCAGCGATGACATTGACCTCAATGCCACCTTTGATGTGGAGACCCCACCAGCCCGGTCCTCTGGTTCCCAGCATGGACTTGCTAAGAAGCTCTGTTTGGAGAAGGCACGGTGAGTGATTGTTGACCTGTAGGAGGGTTGGCTAAGACATCTCTTCATGCCCTGCCCTGACAATTCATGAGTGACTGATAGTGGGGCAGTGAGGGCCATCTAGACGTTGCCATAGCTTTGATACCCAGCCATTTCTTTCTTCTCCTGAGCACTCACTCTGCACAAAGCCCTTCTCTTGTCTCATTAATCCTCATAAACAAAGGTGTTGGGATGCTGAGCTGACAGGGTAGGTAACACAGGGTACCAGTGTGGGTTGGTTTTGGGCTGGCAGGATTGGGAAGGTGTTCTCCCAGCACCTTGAATGCCTGAGTCAAGAATGCTCTGAATTTCCTCTCTCTTGGTGTGCCTTTGAGGCTTACGCCTCAGGGGCCATCTCAAACCACAGAGCTGACAGTGGTTGTCCTGTCCACAAACGTGCACTTATGATGGGGGTAGTTGAGGTGCCTTGCCCAGCACACAGCCATATTAGCAGCTATTCCACACAGTGTCTCCCCAGGGAGCATGCACTGAATCTTTGCCTTTATATCTCCATCTTGCAGCTTTTCTGTTGAGGACATCCCCAAGAAGATGCCTAAAGGCCCTAAGCAGGTAAGAAGTAGTGCAGGCAGTCACTATACTGTCCTTATCAGATCTTTCCTTCTCATTCCTGGCCCAAGACTGAGGTACACTTGAGACCCTTTTTGTTAATCTTTTTTGCCTTCTGGAAAGGCATCAAAGTGCCTGATCTGTCCCCCTACACTTTGTCCCAGTCAGCAGCCTCATTTTCCTTTGCTGCCATCTGGCTCATCAGGTTTGGCCCTGACCATATCCCCTGCAGGATTGCCAGCTCTCACTGGGTGGCCAGCGCTGTACAGGAGACATAGATGAGGAACTGGCTGGTGCTTTCCCTGTCTTCATCCGGAATGCCATCCTGGGCCACAAACAGCCCAAGAAGACCAGGACAGAGTCCTATTGCAGAACAGATGCAGTGAGTGTGTCCTCCCACAAGTGACAGGTGCCAGCCCTTTAGGGTGGAGCTGGGCAGCCAGCCCCCTGGCCTATTAACCTGGACCCATTCACCTCCTCCTCCTGCCCTAGGTAAGGACAGGATTCGATGGACTCGGAGGCAGGACAAAGTTCATTCAACCTGTATCCTTGTTCTTTGGGGCTGGGCTGAAGTGAGTTGTAGAGCCCACACCATCCCTTACTGGTACCTACAGCCTGAGTGTGCAGAGCCACACTTTGCTCAGTGTAGCAGGGCTGCCCACCTTCAGGGCTGAGCCTGTCCTTTTCTGTTCCTTGACATCTACTCCAGACTGACTCAACTGTGATCCACCCGCTGCCTGTAAAGACCAAGACCAAGACTAAGACTAAGCAAAGAATGGGGGTGAGAACACTACCCTCTTCCTCCCAGGCCAAGCTGGACACCTTCCTGAGGTAGCTGAGGGGTCCTGACCTTGAACTCTGGGGTTAGAGAAGGAACAGTGAGCCTGATTAGTAGCCAGCTACATGACTCTTAAACTTGTAGGCCAAGAGCTGGCCAGGCAGGTTGTTGCTGGAGGGACCACCGCTATTTCCAGACCAGGCCCAATGGCAGAAGCAGGTGGAAATGAAAATGAGGCCAGAAGCTGCATTTTCCTTGCACTCACTCTGCCCCTTCCTTATCTTACTGGGTCTATGCAGGGAGCTGAGATAACCAGCTCATCATTCCTACAAGTAGGGTCTGCTGCTGGTTCCAGGTGCCTGTTTATAACCATGATCAGATGCAGCTGGGCTGCTTTTGGTCTTTAAGACCAGAATCTCTTGTTGCCCTTTTGGACCAAAGTGCTTGAGAATTCTCAGGCAGCCTCAGGCTGGAAACCCTGCCTGTTGTTAACTTTTTGCTGGGCATGGCCTGGGCCAGGCATGGTGGGGAGTTGAGATGGTGGTAGGGAAGGGTTGGGGAAAGATTACTATGTAAAATAAAAAGTTAAAACCTCTTTCTGGCTCTGCAGTGTAAATTTGTACCAACACTTCGGAAAACTGTTAGTCTTGATTTTCTTTTTTTTAAAAGCTTTTTATTGTAAATTAGGTGAGGTTTTTACAGAGAAAATCAGTTTTCCATTCAGCAGTTCTTACACATTTTGTCATCTCATTGATAGAACTCTCTCCAATGTAACATTACTTATCCCACTTCCTCCCTGTGTTTCCGTTATCTGTTCCTCCTCCTTTCTTAACCATTCTGACAAGTGGGCCATTAGTTCTTTGGATTGTTTTCATGCATCTTCTGTTTCTTCACTCTTCTTTGCTTCTGGTTGCACCTTAGATGGTTGCATATAAGTTTTTACTATACCTGTTGCTACTCACCAAAGTAGAATGTAGAACATTGTCTTTGTGGACTTTGTTATGCCAATTGACCTTGGTGTCCCTAAGATCATGGTCCTGAGCCCCTATGCCCAGCGACTCATTCCCTCAAGGTGTTTGGTTATATCTAAGAAATTTTCATAAAATTTCCCCTTATATTCTCCAACTGGAGTCCTGGTGTGACACTGTAGGTTAAGCCCTGGACTGCTAACTACAGGGTCAATGGTTTGAAATCCACCAGCTGCTTCTCAGAAATCTTATACAGGGTCTCTATGAGTTGGAACCAACTTGACGGCACTTCACAGCAACAACATTCTCCACCACATTTGTGGGTATATTTGTAGCATAGGGAAAGATGCATATAAAAATAGCCACACTTGCAGATAATACCCACTTAACCTGGCTTCAATGACTGGATGATCAGAGCTCAACTAGAAGAAGAAAGAAGATGAAAAAAAGGGTAATCTGATACAATTTGATGAACTTGACCTACACCTATGGATGCAGTATCTCAAAAGAGGAAACAAATCTTTACAGCGAGGATCATTTCCACCCCCTCCATACACAGAGTAGACAGAGATGGGCAACTTGGACATTGGCTACCCAAAATGGGGGGACTACAAAGGCAAGAAGTGACTGGCTTACAAGCTTTCAAGAGGATGCCTAGATCCAGAGGGTATGGAGGAAGGTAGAATCTCCACTGAGTAGTATCCAATCTGTCTGGGCTAGGCTAATGAAAGGAAATGGGAATAGGTCCCTTGTGGTACAATGGTGAGTAGTTACCAAGACTGACTGTGAGGGTTGGAAATGTAAAGGTGGGTGTTTTGTAGCAAAAGGAGGGAAGTGATTGACTTTGCAGTCCAGGAACAGAGAGGTTCCTGGAATCATCAAGGGAGAAGAGCAGAGTGTGAGACCTACCCAGAGATGGAGGCAGAGACGACAACATGGAGAGATGTTGTGGCTGGGGACTCTAGACCCAGAGAGGGAGAGGGGCTGTGTGCTGACGACTGGGGTGACAGGCTTGCAGGGTATACCCTTCGGTAGGATGATAATGCATGGAGGGGATTGTAACCATGGCAATGAAATGATATACAATAGGATGAATGTAGAGCTAATGTTCTCCCATGTAAACTATCACATAATTCACAATAAAACATTTAAAAAAAAGCTTCTGAGTGGCCATCTAAGTTGCAAAAACTATTGGTCTCTTTCCATGTGAAGCAAACAAATGTGAAGACAATGAAAGATGTATGAAAACAGTACACATTACTAATGGACCATGGAAATCACAGCCTCCAAAGCCTTGAGACCGAAAGACCTAGACGGTGCCTAACTACCACTACCGACAACTCTAAAAGAGATCACAATAGAAAGTCCTGGATTGGTTTTCTGGTCTGATGGTGACTGGTGGAATCTCTGTGATTTCATCATCCTTCAACTCTGGAACTGAACTCACCCCTATGGCTCAACTTTTAGCCAAACAATTGTTATTGTTAGGTGTTGTAGAATTGGTTCTGACTCATAGTGATCCTATGCACAAGAGAAATACAGAAACACTATGCCTGGTCCTACACCACGCTCACAATTGTTAAATTTAAGCCCATTGCTTTCGCATGCATATGAGGTCATTGAAAATACCATGGCTTAAATAAAATACACCTTAGTCCTCAAACTGATACCTTTGCTTTAGAACGCTTTAAAGAGGTCTTGTGCATCAGGTTTCCTAATGCAATATACCTCCTTTGGTTTCTTGACTGCTGCTTCCATGAGTGTTGATTGTAGATCCAAACAAAGTTGTGTTAACAACTATCGTGATGTTACTTATTGTACCAGTAATGAGGATTTTTGTTTTTTTTACACTGAAGCTCATCTTGTAATTAATGAATCTTCTTCCAATACTGATGCCACATTCTTCTTTACATAATCCAGCTTCTCAGGGTATTTGCTAAGCATACAAAGTGAGCAAGTATGGTGGAGGGATGCATCACCGATGCACACCTTTCCTGATTTTAAACCATTTAGTGTCCCCTTGTTATGTTCAAACAACACCAAGTTTCCTCAGGAGCACAATTAAGTGTTCAGGAACACTCATCACAATGTTATCCATAGTTTGTCATGATCAACACAGTCAAAAGTCTTTGCATAAAAAAAATAAAAAATAAAAAGCCTTTGCATAGTCAATAAAGCACAAGTAAACATCTTTCTGGTATTTGCTTTCAGCCAAGAGCCATCTGATATCAGCAGTGATATCCTAGTACCATGTCCTTTTCTGAATCCTGCTTGAATTTCTGGCAGTTCCTGTTGATGTACTGTTGTAATCATTTTTAGATTATCTCCAGCAAAATTTTACTTGAATATGATATTAATAATATTGTTCAATGATTTCCACATTCCAGAAATCTTTGGAATGGGCCAGGTAGCTGTCTTAGCCAAATAACAGACAGGTCTATAAAGTGAACAATAACAGCAGGGAGGTATATACTCCTTAAAACAATCAATCAGCAATACAAGATCAAAAGGGCAGCATTTTCCAGGGATAAAGCTCATAAGGGAGTCCTGGTGTGGCTCTGTAGGATAAGCACTGGACGCCTAATGGCAAGGTCAGTGGTTCAAACCCACCAGCCACTTCTTGGAAACCCTATACAGGTCAAAATGAATCAGAACCAATTCAGCAGCACTTAACAATAAAAAGCTTAGAAGACAGGAAGGAGTAAGGAAGAAGGACAAATAGAAATGAGAAACAGGAAGTGGGAAGAATCCTCGCAATGTGAGGATTGAAATTAATGTCACAAAAGGTGTTTGAATTGAAAACCAATTTACTCTGTAAACTCACCCAAATTACAATAAATTTTTTTAAATGTGCAAAAGACTTAAATAGATATTTGTCCAAAGAAGATATACAAATTGCCAGTAAGTGCATGAAAAGATGCTCGATACCTCAACATCATTAGTCATTTTTTGTTGTTAACTACCATCAAGTCAGTTCTGAATCATAGTGACCCTTTATAGGTTTTCCAAGGAGCAGCTGGTGGGTTTGAACTGCTGACCTGTGGTTTGCAATCCAGTGCTGATTCTACAGCATCATACCAAAAGTCATTAGAGAAATGCTAATCAAAACTGCAATGAGCTACACTAGGATGATTTTATAAAACGAAAACAAAACAAAAAAATTATACGTGTTGATGAAGGACTAAAAAAATGTGAAGCCTTCATACACTGCTGGTAGAAATGTAAAATGGCACAAAAGTTTGACAGTTCTTAAAAAAATTTAAGCATAGAATTACTACATGATCTAGTAAAACTTCTCTTAGGTATATATCTAAAATAACTGAAACTAGGGATTCAAAGAGACATAAATTTGCTCACACACGTATATATTTCTTTTTTTCTTTTTCTTTTTTTTTTAAGGTTTTTATTGTGGATTGAGTGAAAGTTTACAAGGCATATCATCAGTTTCATATTCAGCAATTCATATACATTGTTTAATTACATTGATTATAATCCCCTCCATATACCATCAGTTAACAGTATTTCTCTCTATCCACTTTAGCTTTTTTAAAAACACACAAACAAACAAAAAAAAACCACTCAGGCATATATAGGA